GAAAATCCCGGGCTGAAGATCACTTCCGACCCTATCCGGATCCAATAAAATCACAGGATCTCGTGTAACAAAACAAATGCGAAAAACATAATAACACAAATTTACTATGATGACTAACTTACGACCTCTAAGTAAAAGTTTTCAGAATGAAATTTTACTACACGAATGTTAATGTTAGATATATAGAGAATTTTTGATTTACTACGACCCATATCTTTTTGACCGGCAGCTCGGGATTTTCTTGCCATAGGAAATTCTAATGGTTAAATGAGCTAACTTAAAATATTACAACAATTATGTTTCAGTATTTGTAGCTTTAGTTCTAAAAGAAACAAAAATAATATAAATATGCAAAATATAACACATCGTCAAATAGACGACAGCACAAGGAGTTGGTCATTTTATTAAGAATTTTAACTTAAAGCCATATTATTGGCTTAGTGTCAGTCATGTAACTTTTAGGTGGCAGCATAAGACTAGATATCATACTAAAGAATTTATAGCGCTCGTGCCTTAATAGTGCCCATGCCTTAATAGTACGTATACCATAATAGTGTCATGTCTTAATAGCGCCTGGCTTTATGAGCAACAGACATTTTGTGCTTGTACCTCTAATAGTGCCTAGCACTTTGTGCTCATGCCTTTAATAATGACCGGTACCTTGCACCTGTGCTTTCATTAATGTTTGGCACTTATGCCTATTTACATAGGCATGGCAAAATGCCTATATGCCTGACATGGGCATTTGCAGAACTCTATGTGAAACCATTCTATTAACCAATTTACATCCGTGATCGATTCAAATGCTTCGATACTTTCGTATCGGGCAACTAATTCATGTGCTAATTTTGCACTTTTAGCATTAACCCATTAAAAAATCCTAAGAAAATTTGCATCGGGTCACTGATATCTATTGTCTAAAACTCGTATATTTACTATTGTTTATTGTGGCATTTGTAATTATATTACAGTTTCGGTTTGGTATATAGATATACAATATGTGACAATGTGTGATGATTTGTGTCATGTGGGCAATCTGAAATCAGATATATAAATCACACTCTCATACGCATTCGTTCCTGGTATAAACAATGTATAATATGGGTAAATATTTTTAAACACGAACTGATTTAAATAATAATATGTTTAATTTGAAGCAAATATATTTAAATTGATACTTCAAAGCGTTGCAGTCGAACATAAGCAAATGAATATAAGGTTATGTTTTGAGCATGTATGTGATATACTCATTAAAGTTCATATGTAATAAATGTTTACGAAAATGTGGAGGACTAGCTTCTATACAATTGCTTTTAAATATTCAAGTACAAGATAGTAACAAAATTCACCAAACAAATAATCTTTTTCTTAACCGTTTTTTGTTCAGAATTGAGAGAATTAAAAGCAGATTATGGAATTTCATATTCATTTTTTTCTAGAGAATCGAGAGTTGAATTAAGGGCTTTTTCTAAATATTCGTATTCAGGATCTTTTCCGTGCGTATCAATTTTAAGTTCCGAAAGCATAGGAATTACAAACCACCTCACATTTACATCATATGATTTATCGTTTCCGATATGTCTACTTTATAATCATCTTCTGGTTTACTATCGTTGTCATTTTTTGTTTTACTAGCATTATCATTTTCTTTTTTTGATTCTTTATCAGCCCTATGTGAATAAGTAAAATATTGAAATAATCCCATCTCGAGAATATTTACATAAACTTTTGAATGTTCAAGGAGTTTCTCTGCTATAATTGATGTTCCTGGAACGTAATTCTCTTTTCTACATTTATGAATCTTTCCTCCTAAATAAAGTTTATCGATTGGCTTTTTTAATTTGTCTGAAATAATCTTTTCTACAAAGGAATGATCGTAATCATCATCATTAATTCCATTTTTATTTTTGGTAGTAATATATCCATTTGAAGAATCTTCCAAATCTTTTTTTAAATTTATAAAAGTTTTTAACTTGTTCAACATATTTATATTCTTTTGTTGGATTATCATGGGAACCACTTTCAACTTCTATGTAAAGTCTTTGATAACCGAGAAGATCAGCAACTGTTTTTTTATCAGTAAGTCGTATAAAAACTAATTTACTTATTATACTTTTACTATATCCATCATCATCATCATCCCCATCATTACTATGTTTAAACCCATATTTCTCAATATCTTTAACTCTAATGGGTACATTATTAGAAAAGAATGATGAAATTGAACGGGTTAAAACAGTGGTAAGAATAAAGAAAAAAAAGCGTCAATACTTTGAGGAGTACAATACATATCATACTCGAAAAAGCATTGTATTATAGTAAAGAAAATAACAAAAAAGAAAATTCTTTTATGTAAAAATTTTGAAGGATTTTTTTTAAAGAAATAACTAATAAACAACCATGTAGATAATGAGAGGTCCTATTTCGGCGAGTCTGTCGCTAATCGAAGGTCAGCTTCGTGTAACGTTCGGACGGCTTTCGGTCGAAAGAGGCGTGTAGATTTGGCGAGTGATTTCGATTCGGGTCTGGC